CATGAATCAGATGTGCAAAAATAGAAGTTACGATCCAAGAATTCGAGTTGTACAAAACAAAACTAGAAATTATAGCCTAAGATCCTAAGTTTCTGAAGGTGGAGTAAGTGAATGGTCTTTGCAGATCAACATATGAAGTTTCAATAACAGGAACGGAGCCCGGCAGCTTAGAAGATAAGGGCCCAAATGGTAGAGGAGAAGAATTCTCAGGGGTGCTAGTCCCAGGAGCCTCCACTCTAGCTATTGGTGAATCTTGGGCAAGGGCCTCAGTCACGAGGTCAGCAGAGAGGGGAGTATTAACAAGAGTAGTTGCAGGAGAGGACATTTCAGTGCCTTCTAGAGCCCAAACAGAGCCGACAGGAGCCAAGGGGTTGTCATCACCCTCTGAGTCAGTCTCCTCCAACTCCTCCTCAGTGGGGATAGCAAAGTAGAAGTGAAGGTCTGGATAGGCCTTCTCCGCTTTGCGCTGAAAGGCCAGCCATCCTGAGGCCCACTTGGTGGTAACATCATCAGCTCGGCTATTATGTCGTCCCTCTCCCTAATAGTTGTCTTCTGCACCTTGAGCTCACCACATAAGCTCTCGTTCACCTCAGTCAGGATAACATATTCCTTTTTAAGGCTCTCGAGGGAGCTCTAAGCATCAAAGGCTTCCTGGCTAGATTTGGTCCAGGCATTGGTTTTGAGTAGTAGCTCTTCCCTGGTTTATCCCTGACCTTCTTCTCTCTTTCCTCAGCCTTATTCTTAGTAGCTTGAAGGCCTTCATAGCCAGAGGCCTACTTCTCCATTTGCTCCTCGAGCTTTTGCACCTAAGCTCTAAGGCTCTCATTGTCAAAGGTCAGCTCAGCGACCTTAAACTCATGTATCTTCAAAGCTTTGGCAGAGTCCTCTGAAGATCGGACCCTGCCCATCAAGTTCTTCAAATGGAGAGCCATCTGTGGATAAAAAAGGAAATAGGTATAGATCAGCACAATTCAACTGCGCCGAGCTAAGAGTAAGTGTAAAAATACTTACAGTGGCTGTTCCTTAGAGAGCTGAGCAGAAAGAGGCCTCAGGGGATATAGTAGAGGCCCTCCGAATATCGAATTTAGGGAGAATGGATGAAATGACCCTAACAGCCAACTCAGCATTGTCGAAGAAGGAGTCTTCATCTTGGTCCTCCCTCTTTTCAACTTTGGGACTCTGGAGAGGCAGCTAGGATGGTTGGTCAGGTGGTCCAGGGGGGGTACAAAGTTTGGCTTGATTCTAGTAATCAGCCCCAAGGCTCCCTCAACCTCAGAAGAGGTGGGAGAAGCCAGCCTTGGCTCAGAAGCTTTTTTGAGGGCAAACTGGGCCTCTTACAGAGGAGAAGGGGCCAAGGATTGAGATGAGAGAGTTTGTCCTCCTTTGTTCAAAGACAGGAGAAGAGGGCACTTCCAGCTTTTGTACTTTGACTCTGTCAACGAGGCTGCCTCCAGAGATGGTCTCAGCCTTCCATTTGCCACTTTTCATACTCTTCCTCAGTAGGTCAATCTTAGTCTGGAGTTCCTCAAGCGTAGATTTCATTATGGAGGAGCTTGGGAGATCTGAACCAAGCAAGTTAAATAGGAGAAAGGAAAAAGAAGGGAAGGCAAGGGAACCAATTCAGAAAGTGTTACCTTCTACGTCTTGAGGTCTAACAACTGAGATAGGAAGCGGAGCTTCTATCGATACCTCAGGAGGACTGAATCCCTGTGTTACTAAGACCCAGGTCTTGATGAGCTCGGAGTACTTCTTTGGATTACACTTCTCTAACTTTTGCTTCACCCTCTTGTCCTCAACACTGAGCTCTGGTCGAATGCCTGAAGAATAACACAAGAAGAGCAAAGGTCAAAAAGGCAACTCAATAATTTTCAAACCAGAGCTCAATCAGCTCGAGCAAGGGCTCACCTAAGTTATCAGGGGCAGACCAAGTTCTAGGGATACCCAGAGTATCAGTCTTGTCAGCAGGGTTGTACTCCTAGTTGGTGCCCCCGATGAAAAAGAATTATTTCTTCCAACCTTTATAGGAGCTTGGGAGGTGAGTAATTATCTGTCTAGTCGTGGTTCACTTGGAGATGTATAAGAAACCCTTTGATGAGGTGAGCTTGACATTAAAAAGATCCACAAGCAAGGAAAGGTTAGGGACCCCAAGCCCATGTATCTTAAATAAAACAAGAAGACTCACAAGTACACCCCAGAAATTGGGGGAGAGCTGAGCAGGGCAGACGTTGAAGTGTTGCAGAACACTCTTGATGAAGAAATGCATAGGAAAACGAAGGTCATTGTCAAAAGCGGCCACAAAGAAACAGACTTTCTTATGAACTTGAGCAACATACAGGGTGTATTTATCTGGACATCAGGAGGAAAACCGTAACGAGCACTGAGAAATTTCATAAGAGAAGAGTCAACCTCACTGGGTCCTACGAGCTCAGCATGCCTAAAAGCAGCCCCTGTGCCCGCTTGCACTATCAGAGACTCCTACACCACTCACCTTGCCCTTATCTTTGTCAGGATTGGGGGGTACAGAAGAAGACGACCGGGGTGGTTCCTCAACATTTTCCTCGGCATCGACAACATCTATCCCGAGGAAATTGTTGATTTCTCACCCACATCCCTAAATTAGTGTCCTCTTCGACAAATCTTTCTCCTAAGAGGGAAACAGAGGAGTAAGTAACTCTAGAAGGAGTAGACATGAATGGACAAGAGAAAGGCAAATTAAAAGAACGGTAGAGTGGAGGAATACCAGTAAAGCACTTCCTGATAACCCTAGGGTCAACGCAGTAGCTTCCAACAGCAAGGATTCGCACGATAGAAGACCAGTCCATGAAATGGCGAAGAAGAGACAAGCAATAATTTCCATTCCAAAAATAAAAGAACCGAAAAGCCCAGAAATGCAACGGCCACCTTGAATTCGAGGGATCCAAAATGAGAAAAGGTGAAAAAGGGACAAAAGGGTGTACCTAGGTAGGAAAGAACAACGAACAGCAGCCTAGAGCGAAATGGAAGAAAGAGGGCAATGGGAATCTTCAAGTCGAACCCATAAAACTCGATCTTGAATGAGGAATCAGAGAACTCCAGACCAGAAAGCCAGAAAATCACAAGAAGAGAGAAGCAGCAGAGAAGCTGAACAGTGGAATAGGGCGGTTCAGGTAGCTGTTTGAGCATTTAAAGCTTGAGAGACGTGGGCTAGGATGTGCACGAGAAACGAGGAAGCCATGATTGCTAAAAACTGTTAAAAAGGCCTCCCTCACGTGCATGCCAAGGTCAGCCACGTGCAGATCTAGCTTGTTTTTTTTTTTAAAAAAAAAAAAAAACTAAACCCCTACCTAAGCCTGCTTGAACTAGGGGCTAGGGGGCAACTGATGATACTTCAAACAAGTCCTAGCTGTGAGCCCAGGTCAGGAGGTCAGATCAGGAGGTCAGGAAAGATGCGGGGAACTCGAAGAACAAGGGGTAGAGCTCCTCTTGGAGAGATCGTGACAGGATCAACCAGGAAACAGCTGGATAACTGCATAAATTGAGCCCAATGCATAAAACTCTCAACCAGCTGAGATTTTCTCCTAAAATCAAGGGAGATCCCATGAATAATTGACAAAGATCTTGGCTGAAATCCCACATAATTGGGAGCAACCTTATAAATATTATGTAACGCCTCATCGAGAGCGGGGACCCTCGAGAAAAACCCTAATTAGACTGTTCATTGTACTGGAATACATTTGAGTAATCAATAGAGGAAAAATGAGTAAGAGCCTCCATTAGAGAGTGGATTAGCCGAGCTCCAAAACCGGTGAACCACTATATTCCTACTATGCAAATTCTTCTACCCTCAAAGAAACACATCATCTCTATCATTATGAAGTTGACAACCTAGATTCACCTTTGGTCCCACGCACTCTGTTCACCCACGTCAGTTTGCACCGTTATCTATAAATTGCAAACCCTGTCTACACATGGGGGCATCACACAAATCTCAACATTCTACACACCTTGAATAAATAAGATTTTTCGGCCACCGTAACCATTTTCCATGGAATAGGTTATTGAGACCGAACCACCTAATCTGTGTTTTTTACTGTGTTGATCATACCCAATCACATACACCACCACATCTTTGATCTTTGATTGATTTTGCATAAACACATTTGTGCCTCATCTCTATTTAACAACATTGAATTGTATATACTTTAGTATATAAATAATAAATTGGCCCACACACTCGCACACACTTATTTGTACTACTATATGTGTGCTATTAAGATTTAAAAAGAGAGAAGGAACCCAGCCATGAAAAAACAAAATATGAGAGTAACGCAACTTTAAAAAGTACTAGAACAAAACCTCAAAAAACGCTGTTAAATAGTACCGTAGATTCCCGTAATTCTTGTTGGTTGAAAATAACATCATCACTCCAATGAAATGTAACTAAAAGTCTGCTAATAAGATCAGGATTTGGTTCATCAAACCTGGATAATAGGCCAGACGGTGGAGGTCGGCAAAGAAAGTGACTAAAATATCCAGTGTCACGTAGGGGTTGTTATGTTACCTTCAACGAATGGCTAACTTGCTTAGTTTAAAAAATAGAAAAAAAAAAATAAAAGAATGGCTAAGTCTCTGCTTCATGTATATTTCTGGTTATGGCTTCTCTTAGCCCTGGTCTAAAAACCAACTGGCCTAATGCAAATTAGTATGGTATGGCCCAAAAAATACTCCATCCATTTTTGGATCATTCAGAAATGGTGTGCAACAGTAACTCCAAAGCCGAGGTTTCTGGAGTCTGCTTTTTTGCACTCCGAATAAATTCAAGAAAATTTCACGTGCAATAATCTGTAGATGATTGGTTAATGCTTTAAAAAGCCCAAGTGCTCCACCAAAGAACTGCCAGAGCAAGACGGCCTTCTGCTTAGCTTAGGGTTTATAAGAGGCTCTTTTTATCTGGGTTGGTTTAGAAACAGAGTGAGAGAGAGAGAGAGAGAGAGAGAGACAGACAGACAGAGACAGAGAGAATGGCACTTGAAGATGTGGTGTTTCAACGAGATTTGTTTAATTATGGTAACGAAGATATGTACAATTTTCTAGGAGGGGATTGGAGCTACGAATGTGGTGTAATGGAAAAAGAAGAGACAGAAAATAATCGCTATGCAAATTGGAACATTTCATCTCCTTCAATGGTGCCACATTTGGAGCAATGGGGTCCTAATTCTTCCCTAGGACCCGACATAGAAAATACAATATATCCTGAAGATTTCCAAGAGTTGGATACCTCAACAACAATGTCAGATCGACCCCGGAGACGACGTTCGAAAAGCAAAAAGAAACAGGAAGATATTGAAAACCAGAGAATGACCCACATTGCCGTTGAGCGCAATCGCCGGAAACTAATGAACGAGTACCTCTCCGAGCTCCGAACACTAATGCCAGACTCTTATGTCCTCAAGGTGTCTAGATATCTTCCTCCTATATGCATGCGAAAGCACACACACACGCACAAACAATCTTACATTTTTGTATTCGACTTAGGTTTTGTGCTAAATCTTTATATCTGGCAGAGCGATCAAGCATCAATCATTGGTGGTGCCATTAATTATGTCAAAGAGCTTGAGCAACAGCTACAATTCCTTGGTGGACACAAACATATAAACCAAAAGACTGACGCTGGCTCATCTTCACCTTTTGCTGAATTCTTCAACTTCCCACAGTACTCCACAAGTTTGACTAATACAGCGAGTGATGAAAACCACTCATCCATAGCAGACATAGAAGTGACAATGGTGGAGAACCATGCCAGCCTTAAGATAAGCACGAAAAGGCGGCCAAAACAGCTGCTGAAAATGGTGTCTAGTTTACAAAGCCTTAGGCTAACAATCCTCCACCTCAATGTCACAACAGTTGATCAAATTGTCATTTATTCTTTAAATGTCAAGGTAAGTTATACTGAAGACTGTTACTACCAGTTAATTACTTTCCCTTTAATTTCCCTGCGTGAAGAAACAAAAAACACGAAAAAAGACTTGAGTTTTTTTTTTTGAACAGGACTTGGAATTTATTTGGACATTTTTGCAGGTAGAAGATGACTGCAAGCTGACTTCAGTTGATAAAATATCCACCGCTGCGTATCAGACGCTCAATAAGATTCGGGAAGAGTTGATCTTTGTTTAAAAACCATAATTTCCCAGTGTCAATGGCACTCTCTCTTTACGGTGTTTTTTTCAATCTTCATTCTTATGTGTGGACGGTATCTAGTTTCTCGTAATTTAAATTGTTTAAAATTTTTGATCTTTTGTGTTCTCATACCAAATGTGATGCTTTGGTCAATATAATACCATAGTCACAGTTGACCTTTGAATAATCGATATTAATAATAAAATTTTTTGGAAAGAAGTAAAGTTATTTCATGATTGATAATTGATGATACCAAAGAAAATGGAAATGCCAAGTTAGTTGTTCTCATCATCTCCTTGAGAATACCTAAAGACGGTCCAGGATAAGAATGAACCTCTAGGACCACAACACCGACTGAGACTGACCTCTAACAAGAAAACTACCTAAAGGGGCAAGGGGCAAGGGGCAAGGGGCAAGGGGACTTCACCTGAAAACCCTACTTTCTAGAAGTTCAGATCATATATTGGGAAACAAGCCTCACAACGTCTACATATTCTCTGACAAATCTATTACAAAAGAAATGAAACAGTGTAATAGGGGCTAAACCAATATACTGCTCCTAAGAAAATCCCTACTTTGCATCTTCTTTTTCTCCTAGCAATAAATTTCCCCAAGGGGCAATAGTCTCCCTTCAACCATGGACTACTCCTGCTATTTAGTAGAACGAATCACTCTAATCTTTTTTTTTTTTGCACTCTAATCTTTTTTTTTTGCATTCTAATCATTCACTTCTATCGCTTACCACATCTAAATCAACAACTAGCTCTATCGCTTATCACATCTAAATCAACAACTAGCCCATTACATTTCTTCTAAACTTTTTACACTATTAGTTTGGCGTCGTCTGTAGAAACAGTTTCATCATTCTAAATAAAAAATCCATTATTGATTGATGGTCCAAACTAGAAGCATGAGCCATAATTAAGAAAATCAAATCAGGGTTCCTCAAACGTTGCGCCGACTAATTAGCCACCACTATCAAGGGGCTTTACAACAGGACATAATGGAGCTGTTATGGCAAAATCAACAGATCTTGTAGCTCCTCACAACCCAACGACATCTTTCCCACAAGGAAGAATAGGGCAGAAGCTGATCTGGCAATAACACCCACAACCGACGTAACCTGAAAGTCTATAAGGAAGAAGGCAAAAATAGAACTAGCAAAAGGGGAAGAGAAAATGTTCATCAACCTCTACGACCTCCCTAGACTAGTATTGGGAAGGAAAAATCAAGGATGTCCATGGGCAATATGAGAAGCCTCATCAAAAATACAACAACAGTCTCAATAGAAGCCCTAATATAACATACTGAGTATCCGTTCACCTTAGAGGTTCAGAATCTCCCCCTCCCATCCAAATTCAAGATGCCGAACATGGAAGTCTTCAATGGCACCAAGGACCCATTCGATCACTTGAACACTTATAATAACATGATGAAGCTACACAGTTATCAATTACAAATTGATTAGATATCGTGCCTTTGCTATCATCCTCTAGGGATCTACCCTAACCTAGTACAATAAACTATCGCCAAGGATGATCAAATCATTCAAGGAACTGTCCATACAGTTCGATTTGCATTTCATTGGTGCAAGAAGTCACCTAAAACCTACATTGTGCCTCTTCAGAATCAAACAAAAACCTAACAAGACACTGAGGAAGTATGTTCAATGATTCAACATAGAAACTTTGCAAAATTGACAATCTCGACGAGAAGGTATGTGACACCCCAACTCATTTTCAAAACAATATTCAGAGCACTAATAGCCTCCATAGTTACTACGAAAAGAAGATAGAGCCAATACCCACTTCGAATGCCTACCAACTCCCTCAAACACAAGGGAGCAGGCACTCCTCTCAGCCTGTCACCCTACTTCCCTCTTTGTGATCTCATCACTTCAATTCAAGTGCAAACAAAGAAAGTTAAGAAAGTTCAGTAGAATTCCTTCTTCTCATAAATAATACAACCTCCAAATAATGAAAGAAATCTTATACCAATTCCATAAATATATCAATTGTTTGCATTAACCTCAACACATAAATGTATTATTTGCAGGTATGATACGACTCAGTAATAGACTTATTACATTCTACATACATACATGAAGCTTTTACTAATTATGTGCCTCAACAACATTAATCAACACTTAGACTGAAAATCCTAAGAACTATCAATTCAAACTTTCACAAACTTTTCCATTACCTACTAATCTAAAAAAGGGAAAATATTATAGGGTGAATATCAATAGCTCAATAGAGTAACTCAATTTTCAAACAAACGAGTTTGAAAATAACATAATTTGACATGATTGGACAGTATCAAAAAATTTCATTCCATAAATAAATAATAAAGCAGAAAAAATTGATCGAATATATTTAAGTTTGAAAATAGTAATACGGTCACAACATCAATGAAGTGCTACACTAGTGGATGATCATCCTAATAGACTATTTAGGGTCAATGCAAATTTATGAATATTTAAATCAGTCATAGTTAAATACTCAGTCAATATCGACAACATGCTAGGCATCACTTGGTGCAAATTAAGACAATCCTATCCACCCCTCAGGGCCACGAACACGAATGACAATCATAACCATGCCACTGAGTGTACCTCTCACATGTGTCAAAAAAATCTATGGTATTCTACCAAAACCAATAATAAAAAAACCCAATCATATATTTCAAAACAAGGTAGAACATCATAAATAACATGTGGAATAATTTAGAAACAAGTTTGAAAAACATTGCTTGTTCTAGAATTGAGAAACCCTACCAGTATTGGTATTTTGATTTGCAATAGCCAGAAGAATGAAATGAGGTTATTTTTCAATGAATTTTCATATACATACTGAGTTAAACTATTTAAAAGTAGTGTAAAGTTGGTTTGATTAAAATCCCTCAAAAAGTTGGTCAAATTAAATAGTGTAAAGTTGGTTTGACTAAAATCCCTAAAAAAGTTGGTCAAATTGACCTCGAAGGGTAAACTAGATTATTCACATCTCATTTTGATTTGATTGTCGGATCAACCTAAAATTTTATATGAATTTCTGCATATGTCCTAGGTTCATATACACTCACAATTTGGGGTTCATCGAACCCTCAGGATGCTTGTACCGGTATAAAGTGTACTAGTGCATCCAAAAAGAACCCCTTGATGAACCAGTTGATACCCTGATGAACTAGTTGAAGCCTATGTTGCACCGGTTCATCAGCTAATAGAACCCATAAACTCCACTCAAACACCACCATTAACTACGACAGATCACTAACCAACCACCATAGCACTTCTTGACCTCCTAAGAGCACTCCCCAAAATAATAAAACCAACTAAAAATATCCCCAACGCAAAACCCTTTCATGAAGAACTATACTCATATCAATTTTTAAACCATAAAACTTGTATTTATATAAATCTAAAGCTAAAAATTAATTCAAACATGGATTTTTAGTATTCAACTAAGCTAAGAATGTAGCTTTTTACGTTCGAAACCAACTCTGGCTAAAACCCATAACTCCGATTTCAATGTTTCCTTCACCAAACTTCTCCTTGAGCTTCCTCTCTTTTCACTGTCTCTCTCTCTCTCTATCTATCTTTCCCCACCCGACTAACATAGAGGCTTTTCTCTTCAAGCTACTAAGTAGCCAGTAAGAGGTGGAGAGACCCCAGACCTGTCAACAAGTTTGCTTTGGAAAATATGCCATGCAATGGCATTTTTGTGAATACCATAAAATCCAAAATTTTAATTTTATTATATATTCATAAATATTAAAACATATACTAGAAAAATACCCACTTAATTTTAAAATTAAAATAAGTATTTAATTCCATTACCAAAGTATACCCTCGCACCCCTAACTATTTGATTTGCGTTAAACCTGTCTTTACTGGATCTGCATTATGGTTCCTCATACCTCACAAATCCATTTCTTGCCCTATTTAAGCATATCCATTAACATTAAAACACCCTTGCACACTATCTAACAAATTCCTAACCATAATCCAACTCTCCGACACTCAAACCCCTAAACACACATACCCATATTCTGATATGATTTTGTGATTTTTGAATACCAAGTTATCACAAGGTAGCTCTGGAGGCCTTCATTGCTGGATTAAATTCTTTTGAATTTCTATGTTTAGTATCCAAATACCCTAGACTAGCATGGAAGAAGTTCTTGCCAAGGCTGAGAACCACATGAATGAGGAAGAGGTCCTCTGAGCATGTTGCAACTCTTCAGTTGCAACTGATCATTAGGGGGAAAAAAGATGAAAGATAACAACCATAAGAAGAGAAGAACCTCTTTATCAAGAAAAATAGAAGATGTCCGAGATAGTCCTGGACCTCCAAAGTTAATTTTCTACCTAAGTTTGCCCCATAATGATACATACCTTTAAAAACCTTGGTAGCATAGGTGTTACACAAGGTACAACATGAGAAACATGGAAAAATACTATAATTTTTATCTCGATCATTGGCATGACACTAATGAGTGTATCCAACTAAAAAAGGAAATCAAATCCTCATTCAGTGAGCCTACATCAGGAGATTTGTGTCCTGGGATGAAGAACACAGAGCTAAAATCCACAATAGGTACCCCCCGCAACATTAACAACCCATGTGAGAAATCAAAGTAATCTCAAGTGACTTCAGTGGTGGAGGAGAGTCCATCTTAGCTCGTAAATCTCACATTTGAAAAACCCAAACATAGGACTATCAGGAGGTCTTCACTATCCAGAATGCTCCTCGACTCAACACTAAGTTTATTGCTTGCTCCTCGGAGTGGTATCAAATTAATAAGGAATTCCCAAGGGTAGGAAAGGGTATCGTGCTTGTAACTCGGTCTATTACCGAGGTCGTCTCATCAGGAAAAACGAAAGCTCAAAGGGTGATGGGAAAAAGAAAATAAAAACCTTGAATTTTTTAGAGTTTGTTGGAAGAAATTTATGACTACGAATTAACAAATAAAGAAAAAAACTTGTTAACCAATAGAGT